TTTTTTTTTTTTTTTTTTTTTTTAACCTCCCTGCCAGCCTTCTGACATCTCCAAGGAAGGAATTCTACCTGATCTACACATCAAAGAGCTACTCAGCACAGCTCACAAAAACACTCATGGACCCAGAGTATTAACAAGCAATCAGATTAAATTGAGATAGGGGGTACAGGTGGCTGGGGGGAAGGGCACGAGGAGTTACCATGGTGTCAGGTGTTTTGTAGTGGCTTATCCTACAGTAAGTGAAGACAATTTATCTAGTGTAATTCAGGTGTAAACTCACCCCCCACCCAAAAAAACAACTCATAAGCAAAATTACCACACATATCAGTTCTATTTTAAAAAAAAAGTCCTTGCCACCCTTGTTTCCTGCTGCACCACTAATTCTCTTTAAAAATTTCAACCTTTGTTCATACCAAGATTCAGTCCAAGAATGGTTAAACTACCGTAGGAAATGAGAAGAAAGCAAAGTCCATCAGCTGAAGTGTGCAGATGCATTAATGCTTGCCTGAAAATGTGGACTTTGTCTGAAACCCCTTTCACAGCAGAAGTATTTTCTCTTCCATTCAATTCAGCTGACCACACCTACATACATCTGTTATTCAACACATCTCTAGGACTACTTAACACTCAGCCTTAACATATATATTTCTTTTTTTTGGAAATTACTGGTTGAAACTGGAAATGAGGGTGAGAAAGACGTGCAACCCACTTCTGAGCCAGAGATGAAGAAACTTGCCTCCTGGATGTGTATTTTAATTACCTCCAAATTAAGAAGTTGCAGTAAGCAGAATAATTATAGTTTTCTAAACCCACATAAATGTCATCAATTTGTTTTATTTGTGTACCATCAGGCTTGGAGTAGTTACCACAGCATAACAATTCCAAATGTATTACCTCAGTGCAATAGTACTGTAAATTTACTAATGATCTGACCATGTGCAATTTATGCCCAGTTCCAAATTATAAGCACACATACACAGATTAGTACATACACATTCTAATATTTCAAGATCCCCTGGATTCTTATTACTTTGTATAACTGACCACTGTGTTGTATATGTAGAATATGGTAAATGTGCATAAGGAGTTTTCCAAAGAGGCAGGATGGACTTTAGTCGCTTCATGCATATTTTTTTTTAATTTACATTCCACCTACTCTAATGATAACTTGATGGGGTAAAAACACTAGAAACCAGCAGATTATTGCAGACATTATGGGCTGGAAGGGACCTCATGAGATCATTGAGTCTAGCCCCCCCGCCATAGGCAATATGTCAGCTGGGATCAAGTGACCCCAGCAAGAAAAACATCCGCATGTTGTTTTGAAAGAGTCCAGAATAGGTGCTTGCACCACCTCTGGGGGGAGTCTGTTCCAGACCCTGGACACTTGTGCCATAAAGAACATTTTTCTGTGTCTAGTCTAAAGTCAGCCTTCCTAGAGTTTATGGCCATTAGACCTTGTCATCCCTTGGGGAGCTCTGGTGAACAGCTGTTCTCCCAGCTCCTGATGTACCCCTGTTATATAATTGTAGGCTGCCACCAAGTCCCCTCTGAGCCTTCTCTTTTCCAAACTGAAGAGTCCCAAGTCCCTCAGCCTCTCCTCATATGGTCTGCCCTCCAGGCCTTGGATCATACAAATGGCTCTCCTCTGGACTCTCTCAAGCTGTTTCACATCCCTCCTGAAGTGGAGGGCCCAAAACTGGATGCAGTACTGGACAGAGTACTCTACCTGCAGTCTCACCAGGGCCAAATAAAGTAGTAGGATGACTTACTTTTAACCAAAAAAGATGGTTTTGCTCGAGATGCATCAGTGGATGCACGCCAGAGTTTGCTTTGCTTTCCCAGCCACAGCATCATGTTGGTGGCTCATATTCATCTTGTGGTCAATCAAGATCCCCAAGTCTCTTTCAGTCATGGTGCTAGTGAGCGTAGCACTAGCAAGCCTGCGAGTACGTTAAAGGTTCTTCCTACCAAGGTGCAGCACCTTACATTTCTCTACATTGAAGGCCATCAGGTTTCAGTCAGCCCACCTTGACAGCATGTCCAAGTCGGCCTGTATTTGCAGCCTGTCCTGCGGTGTGACCACCCTCCCCCAAAATTTGGTGTCATCTGTGAACTTTGCCAGTCTGCATCTGACTCCCAAATCCAGACAGTTAATGAAGATGTTAAAGAGTACCGGCCCAAGTACTAAGCCCTGAGGGACTCCACTAGTCACCCTGTGCCACGCTGATTTGTTCCCATCAACTAGTACTCTTTGGGTCCAACCCTGTAGCCAGTTACCTAGCCATTGGACCATAAGATAATCAAGGCCACAGTTCCCCAGCTTAACTACAAGGACATCGTGGGGAACTAGGTCAAAGGCTTTCTTGAAATCCAGATATGTGACATCTGCGTCATCTCCCTTGTCCAGGGCACATGTTACCTGGTCATAGAAAGAGATGAGGTTGGTAAGGCAAGACCTGCCAGTCACAAAGCCATGTTGGCTGACATTCAGATGCTTGCCTTCCATTAGTCTGGTTTTGATGGATCCTTTGACAATCTTCTCTAGGATTTTTCCAGGGATGGATGTCAGACTGATTGGTCTATAATTCCCCGGCCATCCCTCCTTCCTTTCTTGAAGGTAAGGACCTTGCTGGCTCAGATTATGTTGCAAATCAACAGCCTAGACTACTCTAGGGTTTGCTTTATGTGGTTTTCGTACCTTTAGGATGTTATCAAAAAGGACAAATTGAAAACCTGGAAATGCCTAAAACTAGGCATCAGAACAAAGCACATAATTTTCAAAGCTGCCAAGGACCTTTACCTCCAAACAAGCCTGAATTTAGATCCAGCTGACAGCAGTGGCATGCCAATGAAAGTTTATTAAAGCTATTTACTTGAATCTTTATTAAAAACTAATGCCATTAGACTTACAGAATAAAGAACAAAAGAAGTACTCACGCTGTGAATAAAGCAGTATCTGAAATTCCAGAAGGGCACAAGTAAAGAGCTGAACCACATTTTCTACTCCAAGTAACTCAAAAACTTCTTTAACTGGGAAGTCAAATAGTGGCAGTTCACTGGTGCTTGGCCTCTGGCAGACAATTGGTCCATAAACACCTGAAAATTTTAAGGATCTCCCTGCTGGAGGAAGAGGAACCTCATACAGAATGTTGTAGATGTAACTTTCTAATGGTAATGGTGGTGGCTGAGGCGAAGTTACAGCTTGATGGAGTTGCTCTAATACTTTCTTACAAGCCTTCATGAAAGACATAGGAGTAATCAGACAAATGCACTTAGAGACATACAGTGTGTCTCTGCTAATATCATATGAGTTAAAACGCTGGAGCTTTGATACAGAACTGCCATTGCAGTCATCTATGCTGCCACAGATATCTTTGTCATTTGTGGATGGAGTATGAATAATGTCATATTCAGCATTGTGCATATGATATAAAGTCTGCATTGCACTGCAGATTTGTTTGCTGGTAACTTCCTCGTAAAATGTGAGAGAAAACCCAAATGTCCGTGAGCCATCTTCACGGGTGATTATAAATGAGTGGAACTGAGGTTCTCTGGAATCAGCTTGTGTCTTGAAAGCAAGCCCTTTTGGCATACAGAGCTATAAAAAAAGGAAGAAAAAAAAAAATTGGGAAAAATTACATGCCCATTTTAATTTTGCTTGTTTCCCCCCCCCAGAATTTTAGGCTAAGACAGGCAGGATATAAAAAGCTGTAGGCTGACATGGCATCTCATTTCCCTCCATACAAATTCTATAAAATATCAAGATACTAATATAATATACTGAGTATATTAAAATGAAAGGTTAATTATACAGAATGGAGACATTCAAAATAAAAGCCACATCTGATTACCACCAAAGTCCACAGAATTGTTGTCATTTAACAGGAACAGAAAATTCAGCCTGTATACATGAAGTGTTTTTATTATTAATATTATTTTTAAAATTGACGTAAGTGATTAAATTCCATGCCGTGGAATAGACAAACACAGAAAAAGAAATGCTCATTAACCAAAAGAGACTGATTTCCATTTATTTCTCTCTGAAATACCACAGAATAAGTAGCAAAAAAAAAAAAAAGTTATTAGTGGTAAAAATCTTTTTACAGCATTAAAAAAATGGGGTTTGTCCCTTTAAATTAAGCCTGCATACTTTAGAGCAGGGGTAGGCAAAACACAGCCTGTGGGCTGGATCTGGTATTATACAGATTGGATCAGGCTGGCAGAGCATGCCCACCAATCAACTGGATCAGGCCCACTGCGGTGCCCCACCCAGGACAGCCTGCACCACACTCTCACCCGTGTCCGCCTGCCCCGGATACGGCCAGCACACACAGCTTACCAGCTCCTGGTGCGGCTGCAGCTGCCTGGTGCTTCTTACCTCCCCTTAAATCCAGCAGCAACTTCTCTTCCTGCTCCTGCCCCAGCTGCACCATTCAGCCACGCTCCTGCCCCAGTGCACGGGACTCCACCTCCCTTCCAACTGCCCCACCCACCTGACAAGGTAGAAGACAGCCAGGAGCTGGAGCCATAACCCCGCACACTGGGGCAGCAGCCACCTGGCTGAAGTTTTCTCCCTATCCGGAGTGATGCAGCAGGGGCAGGAGCAGAAGCATCTGCTGCTGGACCTGAAGGGAACTGAACAGCACCTAGCAGGTGCAGCCACACTAAGAGCAGCTCCGCCAGTAAGCTGTGCATGCTGGCTGGGTCTGGGGCCAGAGGGTGTGGGCAGGAGTGCAGCATGGGCTGCCCTGGGCAGAAGCAGGCAGAGCTCAGCCACCATAGAGTGCCGCACGCTGCACCACCCAGACAAGCTCTGCTGCACGCACCACCTGTCCTCTCCTCCCTCCCCCACCCCCAGCCAGCTCCCAGGACCTAGCACCCAGGCAGCCCCCACCCCAACATGTGCACATGCTGTCCCTCCACACACACGCGAGGTGTGTGGGGAGCACCCCCAAGGTGGGCTGGGATCTTGAGGCGGTGACAACATGGAGCTGCAGCCCAGGGCAAGGCTGCAATCCACTTCCTATGCACCCCTGCCCGTGAAACTCAAGCCTGTTGCAGGGGGCATGCAGGCAGCGGATCTTGGCTTTACCCAGGGCCCAGGTCCTGGTCCTGTGCTGTCACCACTTGGCAACCTTACCCCATGATCCCAGCCTTACCCACCCATCCCACTTCCAAACACTGCTCCCCGCCCACCCACAGCCCCACCACACATAGGGAGTTGTGGCGAATTGTTGTGGGGGCAGGAGGGGATGCTGACTCAGCTCTGGGCAACTCATCAAAACTGCCTATGTGGCATCCAGGCCCAAATAATTGCTGATTTACAGCAACAAATTGATTAACTGTAGCTTTTTATTTTGCCACTATCAATATATAATATCACAGAAATAACTATAACAATTAAATATGTCCAGCTAAGTGAATAGTATTATTAAAAAAACAGAAGTGGAAAAAAGCAAACAAATCACTTGACATGATACTGACCATTCCCACTGCATCTTGGTCAAAAGGATTCCATTCTACATTCTCAGGATAACGAGCAAGAACTTTGGACTTAAACGTGCGTCTTAATGGAGTTTGTTCAAAATTCTCCCCTGAAAGTGAAAGAAGAAAACCCAAATTCAACAATTTCATTCTCTTCTCTAGCCTTGTAGCAAACAGCTTGGAAAAATGTCAGTAAGCAGAAGTGAAGATAAGCGAATTAAGTGCGCACATTCCTTTAAGAGAAACAGAAAACGCAAAAGAGTTAGTTAGCATGTAATTAGATTGAAAAGTATTAGCACCGTCAATAACTGCGTACAAATGTTATCTGTGCTTTTCATGAAACGAACACCTCTCAAATTTGTCTACAGTTACTGGGTTTATTTCTGCTTATTATCAAAAGCCTTACAAGCTCCATGCAGGATTTGAAGGAACTCAAATGTAGCACAGCAAGACCTAATCTGCATTTATTATACTAAAGAAAAGCACAGACAAGACACACAAAGATGATGCAAAGAGATTAAAACAGACACAAGTGACATCACTTCTAAATATTTTGAAGGCTTTGTTTGTTTTTTTTAAAGCCTTCTCTGAAACGGTGGAAATTCACCCATCAATTACAAAAAGTCATCTGTAAAGAAAGACTCTACAAAGTTAAGAGGTCAAAGGCCACAAAAATGCCAGTAAAGAGGAGATATCAGAAGAACTAGAAAGTTTATGCTGTTTTTCTTTAATTTTTTTTTTACCTTCTGCTGCACTTGAAATGAAACGGCCGGCACCACCTCGGATTTTAGAGGCCTGTATATACTGGCATAATGCTATATAACAAATAAAAACAACACTGCATTACAATTCAATAGTGTGTACTACCAAGGAATTATATAGCTAGTAGTCACCAATGTACAATATAAAAATATTCCATACAAAACTAACATGCACAAGAGATTTGATGGCATATTTTCCTCATGTTTCCTAGACAGAGGAATAAAAGGTGGGACATTACTGTATAAACCCAGCAGAAGCACCAACAAATATTTCCAAGTAGAGAAATTGAGCTAAAAATTAAAGTTTGTAATTTGAGATCTCAATTGTTCTCCAATACATACACATGCACATGCTTTAGTTTTTCTTCTCTGTCCAAGATAGCACTATAATAGTTATACCTACAAGTTAAATTAGTACACTTCAAAATGTATATTTGTAAAATGCCCCTAAACAGTGAAGTACATGATGAAAAACTCATGCAAAGAACCACTCAAAAACCTCTAAATATCACAGTGTTTTTAATATTTAAAGAGGACTGCAGAGGGGTAAATTTCATCTGTAAAGGGGAGATCTGTGGGGCCCAACTTTGTCTAAAGCTTTTGCATTTTCCAAAGAAAAGTGAACCAATCCTCAGAGCCAAGGTCTTTCTAGAGTAGCTCCCATGAATACTTGCTTTAAAAAAAAAAAAAAATCCTCCCAAAATAAACTTTGCCATCTGAGTAGAATGCAATTAGCGAGATAAGCATGCAGCTGTTGACAGCTGCTACAACAATCACACAGAATTGCATGAAATCACATGCTTTAAATAAATTCAGCAATTTCAGCAACACCTGCTACAACAGGGGAAAAACCCTTATTTCAAACCCTCATTTATTATCTTGCACATAGTAATTAAGTAGCAAAGGAAGCTGATTTTGGAGTTGGTGGAATTTGTTCTGTACTTTTACAGTAATATTTAAAATAACATTTCTGGATTGAATAAAAATTGCTTAAAATCTTTACGCCATACAACACTAAAGTTTTACAACATGCTGTCACATCCCTTGAAATACCTTGGGCATGCAACAAGACACTGTAGGTGCACCATTAACAGCCAGTTGGTAAAACTTAAAATTTTATTTCCTTGGGAATTACTTAATAATGGCCTCAATTCAGAAAAATGAGACTCTTTTTTTTTTAAATTTCTAGGGAGCTACTCTAAGTGCTGTCCTGATCAGGGATCTTCCCCACCCCCTTCTTATGATATGTACATAAATCATACAGAATCTGGGAAATTTAAGCCCACATATTTATATATCCACAAATTTGCAGTGTCAGAAGCTTTAAAAAATTACCTTAAATAGGTCAAGCAAGGTAACTAGATGCTTTTTTATTCATGCATTTCTTTATAAAAAGCAGTGGGGGATTTATAATACGGATGCTATGAATTGGGACATTTGGGAAGCGAGAATAAAAACAAAAGTTCACTGAAATATAATAAACAAGATGATCACCCAGAGGAAGAGAATCAACAGGAAAATTTAAGTAATAATAGCATTTTTGCAAACACTAAAAATAATTAAAATGCAGGTGAATCTAAAGGCTTCGACAAAAAGCTGTCTCTGTCAAAAAAATCAAAAATTAAATGACACCCCAGATCTTTATTTTCTCCTCTAACCTCCCCCTCCCCAGCCCAACAACAAAATTAAAAACCCATAACTTTCTGGAAGCCAGGCTTTTAAAATTAAGACAGAAAGCTAAACACACCTACGATTTTCTATAGTTATGTCTGCCTAGCATGACGTAATGTCAACTTTTAAGTAATTTGGGGGAAAAAAAACCCCACAGACATTTACTAAACTGGTTTGTTTTTTGTTTCCTCCATATATTTTAGAGAGAAGAAAACCACTTAGAAACCAAGTTTTCTCCTATATTTTGAAACCACCTCCCACAATCACCAGATTCTCAAAACCACAAGTAGCATACATTTAGAGGAGGGGGGAAAAAAACAACCACTTTTCTGGGCCAGGCAGCTTCTATTAACTGGATTATTCGTTCAAGATGATCAGTCTTGCAAACTAATTGAAACCATTTTATTCTGGAGCAAACAGCAGATCGTGACATCACTGAGGAGGCACTGCTCAAAATGTATTTAAAGGAAACTATCCGGAAAAGGAAAATATCTCTCTCCAGGTAAAGATGAAATTTTAGATTATAGCTCTGTTTACAAAAATAATTAAAATCTTATAGTTCTACAAAAACATGTTAATTACACCATAACTGTAACATCTATGAGGGCCCAAGTATTCAAACTGTTTCATATCCTCATCCTCATGACAGCTGAGACATTTACAATGGCCAGATTCTGCTTTTCTTTTCACAAGTTTCTTTCTACTTATCCTATCAAACAGGAAGGATGGGAAAAAAAATCATCATAAGCTCTGGTTAGTGATCTGAGTTACAGCAGAGTTAAAAGTACTTCAAGTAAAAACATTTATTAAGCAAATAATTTATTCCTGGAAGTTTCCAATTTCAAATGCAGGCTTCACCTTTAAACTTTTAAAGCAAAAACCAAATTAGTTGGTGATTCCAGAAAATGTGTTAACAGATCTCCTACTATCACAGGGAACACATGTAGCCTCTAAAAAAGAGTACATCTTCCTTGCAGTTCATTTCAGGTCAGCACATTTCAAAATATATCTTAACATACCTCAGTACGATGAAATCCAGTATGTTAAGGAGTATGTACAGACTGGGGCCTGTATTATACAGACACAGGTACTGTATGATTCTAGGTGCTTGACTGCTGGCTATACATTGCAGACAATACTCAGGCTCTAAGGTAGGGGTGGGCAATTATTTGGGCTGGAGGGCCACTTAAGGAGTTTTGGTGAACTGTTACAGGCTGAGGGGGGAGGGAGGGAGACAATTTATCCTATCTAGCCCCAGGCCTGTCCTCCCCATGCCCACCACCAGAGGCACCAGAAGGAGCAGGTGTGTGGGTAGGGTCCCCCCTGCCCCCGGAGAACAGCGTGGGACTCCCATGAGCAGGGCATGCTTGGGTGGGCAGATGGGATGGGGCTGCATGCAGGCAGGGCTGGGATCTTGGGGCAGTGGCAGTGCAGGGCCAGGGTAGAGCCATGATCCACCCCCCACATATCCCTGCAGCGGGTACTGGTTCTGCAGGATCCCAGCCCCAGCTGCCCATCCTGTGCTCCCAGACTCAGATGTGAAGTTGACAAAAGAAACTGCAGAAATTGGTTGTTTTAAAAGAACACCATGTGAAGAAAATTAAGATTAATATGCAAAATTGGAACAGTTTAGAATGCAAGTGGTTGACATGGTTAGTTTATCTAAATGGACAGCCTACAACTGTTCCCCTCTTCATCTGCTTTTTCTTCTTGTTCATTAGAATAGTGTTTGCATCTTCTCTTAGGGCAGATCTACCTGTTTAGACAGATAACCACAAAGGGCTACTTGGCTTTGCAGATACTGACAGGATTGTAAGATTTCAGTCTCCATCCACCTTTACAGTGCTAAGGAAGATGCAGCTAAATATCAGAGGGCAGCAAAAAGTTTCAGATGAAAAGTTCACACTAAAATGAAACTTGGCTCAACAATGTGGTGATTAAAATTGATGCTGTTGACAGAGGCTGCCCAGAACCTCCCACCTGACCATCTTCAAATACACTTGACTGATGGGCTTTTTTTATAACATAAAATAAACCACAAATCTGTCCTCTAGGACAAACTTCAGCTTCCTGTAATTTTAACAGGACAGTCCTGTAAAAACAGCTACTTTCCACAACCATGATAGAGTCTAAGCTGCTCCATTAAGAACCAATATACATGTTTTGTGGTACCTGGAATCATGGGACAAAGGAATTGCCTAATCAGTTCTGATATTATCTACATTGTCCTAAAATTATTACTTCCGGTGGCCTCAGGGGCTTATCTGTGCATCTATAGTTATTTGAATTGACCCCAGTACTCTTTCCTGCCATGGCAGGGGGTCGGACTTGATGATCTGCTCAGGTCCCTTCCGACCCTACTAACTATGAAACTACAAAGTTACTAACGGCACATTCAGCAAACCTGCTGGCATATGCACTTCATACATCATAATTCCTTCAAAAAAGTTCTGATCAGCCCCAAAATAGTCTTACAATTGTCCAGAGGGATTTCTGCCCATATCTTTCTTGACCTGCTTACAGATTTCTAAATGTAAGAGTTCTTTATCATGTCATGGTAAACCTCCTATTAGAAGAATTGTCATAGGAAAAGGTATTTACCCCTTCTAGACGGCCTCTCTGAGCATTCTGGGGAAAATCTGGGTAATTATTCCATTGTGCCCAAGCAGATGATCCAATGCCCAGAAGACTTGCACTTAGACATATGAGGAAACTCAAGTATCCCACCTTACACAAAAAGCTGAGAGGAAAGACAACAACTTATGCTGACAAGATAGAGACAAGAAATTGTCCACACACGCACGCACGGATATGGGCAGAAACCCTTCTGGAGAAGGTCAAGTTGTAGTTATTTGGATATTCAAATTGACTTTTATTAGTAAATGTTTAGGATTGTGAATCCAAAAAAGATGACAAAGCTGGTAGGGAAATACATATCGCCTGAGTGAGGGACTAACATTAGAGGGATGGGGGTGAGGAGGGGAACACAACTAGGTTACATCAGATACAATGTTAGCCAACTAAACCCGGGGGTGGGGGGAGGTGGTTCGCAACACAGAGAGAAAGAAGATAGATGCACACAAACCCATTACAATGGTCCGCAAGGGTGGAGGAAGTGGTTCAAAGAAAGTATCTCAGTCCATATAGAGTCTCATCGCGGGGGTCCTCTTCGGGTGGAGTGGGGTCATCCATTGCTGAAGAATCCTCTCAAAGTGGAAGTCCATCTGGTACAGGGGGAGGGGGTTCAGGTGGTCCCCTCTGGGTCCAGTCCGGCAGTGGTTCTTCTGGTGGGTTCAGAGTACTGGTGGTGGCCCGTGATGTGTTCCACGTAGATGTCACGGGACCAACAGATGGTGCTGGACACCATGAGGCAGCGCATCAGC